ATACAATCAATTCTTCTGTTGTCCCAGTTGTATGAGGAATGGATTGGTCATTAAAATTATATTTCTTTCTACAATATATTTAGGTATTAGTTTGAAAAGATGTTAATATTTTTCCTGTTTTTCCTCTTGTCAGAGGTTGTAACTAGATTGTCTCCTGTTTGCTGTGAAAATATGGCCCAAAGTAAAGCAGTCTGCACTATTTTTACTTTGATACGGAGCTGCAATAGAAGTGTCCCTAGCATGGATGTTATTAAATATTCTGTCCAAGTCTTGCTTAATTTATCAAAGGTATTTATATATTTTCATGTTTGTTGAAATTAAGCTGTTTTTTATTTTTTTGTAAGTTTGTTATATAAAGTTTACAACGGTTATTATTTTCTCATTTTTAATAAGTGCCAGAATTTAAATTTCAAGTTATATTGCAAATGAGAGCTAAACTCATTTACACTATTGAAGTCTATTTCAAGTTTAATTTAATGCAGTTATAAGCCGCAGGGCCAAATAATTCATGTGAAAAGCACCAGTGATATTGGTTTTCAAAAAAAATATCAGTCTGATTAGTGTTATGTGCTATGATTCATATTGCAAAAAAAATATTCATTGTTCTTGTAGCTTATATCAGTCTGCCAAATAATCAAAAAATAGTTGAACAAAACACTTCATTACAAAAAATAATAATAGGGAAAGTAAATTTTAAATTAAGGACTAAGCATATTAGTTAGTCCCACATAGCTACTGGAACTGCTTATGAAATAATTTGTGATAATGTACCTTTAGTGAGCTTTGAATTCAGTATTATATTTGGAAAAAATATATATTTGCAGATGATGAAAAAGTACCATCTAGAAGCACTGTTGCAGTTTCCTATACTGGCAAGATATGGTTTGGAAAAACTGTATTTTGAGAGAAAGTTAAGAAAAGAAAGCCCTGGTTAGGCATTAGAAAAAAAATTGAATTTCATTAGGCAATAAAAAAAATCTTCAGGTTGATTTTCAAAACATTTAAGTAGTAAGACATTTATATGTCATAGAGGTTGGGGAGAGCAAGGTCTTATTTTTGCTAGTAAAAGAAGACATCTCTCCCCTCAATTCATAAGTTATAATCAATTCTATTATAATAGTCATTGTCCTGCCTAAGTACAATATTTTAATGTAGAATTAAGATATTTGCTAAAATAAAGTTAGTTTATTCTGCTTATATTATTCACATTTACTAACAAGTAGACAAGAATGAGTTTATTTGTACCTATGTATTGATGCTGTAAATCATTGGCATGTATTTGTCATTCTACAGTTCCAATAAGGATTTCACAAATGATGAACAATCCTAGGATTTTTGAGAATTAACTTACAACTCTTTTCATCTATTTAGTATGAAAGGACTACTGATGCTGTTTATTCGGTGGAAAATTCAGTAGGAACATTGTTGGATTTACTTCAGATGTACCGGGAAAAAGCTGGGGACAAAACTTCAGAAAAAAGTGGTAGTATTTTTACCAAGACATGTTGCTTATTTGCTCATCTCTCAAAGGACGCAAGAAGAGCTTCTGTAAGTTTTATTTGTTAACTTTTTGTGTCTTCATTATGTAAGAGTTGCCAAAATATATATTGAAATATAAATATATTCAAAAATTGGAATGCAAATTCTTTTTCTTGGTTGGGCCTGCATGCCAAAAAAATAGCTAGGACTAGTTTTGGGGTTCAGATGTAGAAACTAGTACTTGGAGGTAGCAGTGCAGTTGCTGGAGGTTTTTTAAAATAGACATAACAGTATTTTAGAATGAAATAGTGAGCAAATATTTCTACTTGCTCTCCTACTAAAATTGGTTGTTTTAAACTAAAATGTATTTTCTGAGTTGCCAAAATAATGTAAGAAGTTCACTATGCTATTATTTCATATATATATATATATGGCCAACTAACACTTGCTTATATATAATGGTTTTATATAGGATGCCGCTGACTCATCTTAAATACAGATAATCCTCATTTAGCAATTACAATTGGAATTTGCAACTTGGTTGTTAAATGAAGCAGCTGATAAGTGACTGCTTATGGTCTTACTTCAGCTTTCCTTTGCTTTCAAACCTATGAAGGTTGTAAATGTGAGGGCTACTTGCAAAGCTATTTTTTCATCATGACTGTAACTGTTCAAGCCACTAAATATGGACTACTATATAGTTAAAGGCAAGTCTTGGATATTAGATTCTAAAATGGGATTTGCTTCTCTTAGCTAAGCTGACAAATTTTAAATATGCTAAGGAAGATAGGAATTTGCTTCTTTGGGGTATATATTTGAAAGTAGACAATTTCTACTGATGTTTGCCTTTTAGTATATAGATCAGTGGTGGTGAACCTATGGCATGGGTGCCAGAGGCAGCACTCGGAGCTCTCTCTGTGCCGTTGCCCCAGCCTTGCCTCCCCCCGCGACCCCCTCACAGCAACCCCCCTGGAGGAGAGTCGCCCCCGAGCGTGGCCCACGCGGAGCAGTGCAGCCAAGCACATGGCAGCCAGGCAGCGTAGACAAGACTCTGTCCTCACGCCCCATCGCGCACAGTTGATGCTGCAGGGTGCGGGCAGAGGGCGTGGCCACCATGGCCCTGCTGGGTGATCTGTGGCAGGCCCTGGAGGCGGTGAGTGGCCTTGTGGGCAGGCGGAGCAGGGTTGGGGCCAGTTTTTGGGCGCTCGGTCTCTAAAAGGTTCGCCATCACTGATATAGATTATAAATCAGGTTGACTGGATCCCAAACATTTAGCAGTCTTTAAAAGTAGAACTTAGTTCAAACTATTCATAATTGGTAACCATACTACTTTGAAAAATTACTAGCTCTTCCTATTCTATACAATTATATGTTTTAGCAAAATATGTCTTATTTTAAGTGTTTGAATTTGTCTTTTTCTGTAGAGTGAATCCTGAATTTTGTATGGTATAGCCCAGGGGTAGGCAACCTTGGCTCTTTTATGACTCGTGGACTTCAACTCCCAGAATTCCTGAGCCAGCCAAGCCAAGGTTGCCTATCCCTGGTATAGCCTGAGACTAGCTTTAAAATGAAGTACTTGGTGTAAATGAGGAATACTGAGATAGAAAGAACATCAAATTGGTCCAATTGAAAATTTGAAAGGATTTTCAAAGATATACAGTTGTGAGGTTTCATTGAACAAATACTATATTTTAATAATAGTTGCTTATTTTTTTAGGAGATTCGAAACAATCATAAAGTAGTTGCTAGCCTTCGGAGATTATTTAAACTTACAGCTCGTAAACATCAAATGGATGGCCAAAGAATGCTTGCCAAACAAAAATTAGATGCATACATAAATGGACAGAGCTCCATTCCTGTAAAAGTAAAAATAATTTCAAGGTAAGTCTAAATTGTTGTAACTTTTAATTTTCTATTTCAAATTATACTTTTATTTTTATGGATTTCTTTTTCATCTTGTAGGCAGAGGCCAGATTGGGATTTAAGGAAAGACAATATAAGAGAGATTGTTGATCCATTGGAAGCCATTGAGATGGTAATGAACACACTTGGAATTTCTTGCAATTAAAACATGAAAGAGTTTATAATTATGACAGTTTCAGAAAAAAATGGACTGGACTTCTTGTATCTATGTACACGTTATGCAGCTGTTTTATAAAGCTTGTTTATCACTGTTGGAACTCAACTGTCAGTTAAACTAAACTTCTTATTGATATTTATCTGATGAATTAATAAAATCTCAAATGTTACTTTTATATAATTTAGAGCTACTGTGTACAATATAATAAGATTATTTTATACAATTAAACTGAAAAACTAAGGTTGTTAGTTAATGTATTGTGTATATCTTTTGCTTTAGAGAGAAATTTGAAACAAATACAGCTTAATAGCATAAAATCAGCATGTAAAACTTGTTTAAGGCTGAGCGTTGTTCTATGGGAAATTGCATTCTAAAGGACTGAACAGGATTATTGAAAGACAACACCAGAAAATAATATTTTAAGCTAACTTAAAAAGTTCTCATAGAATTACTTCCCTTATATTGAATATTTTTTCCTTGTGACACATTAAAAATATTTTTTTACATTTTGTTTTTACTTAATAAAATTATTTTCTGGTTTACGAATGGAAAGTAGCTTTTCTTTTTGATCCCGACAATGGACAAATGGATGCAAAAGTTGATGGAGTTAGCAGAGTTGGCTAAATTGACTGCTTTGATCAAAGACAAAAATACAAATACTTTTATTGCTACTTGGAAACTGCTTCTGGACTTCGTGCTTGAGGTGGAAAAAAATGAAACTTTGATTTTGGGTTTTACCAATTAGATAGAAATGGCTAGTTTAAACTATTATGTAAAAGTAAAAAAATTAAGACTTGATGTTAATGCCTTATTCTATGGAACCAAAGAGAATCAGAAGTCAATCCTTTTCTTTTTTTTCTCACTTTTCTTTTCCCTTTCCCCCTCCCTATTTTTCCTACTATTTGCTTTTGTATTTTTTTGTATGCTATAACATAAACTAATAAAACTATTTTAAAAAAGGAAAGTAGCTTTCTTATCCATAGAATTCTTATATTTTTGCTTTTCCTATTTGTTACTTCCTGAGAAGTTCTTTCACAAAATATGACTACTAAATGGAAACATCAACATGAAAAAAACTACCAGTAGTTGCAAGATTGTTTATTCATATTCAGTTCATCTCACACTCTTCAATTAGCAGTTTTATTGTCATCTTTTGTATGTTGTTCTGCTGATACACAGGTAGTCCTCGAGTTACAAATGTAATGGAGCCTGCCAATTACATTCATAATCCGAGTATTTGTTGGAGTGAATCATGTAAAATGAATGTAAAAACTCCCTGTGTTTGCCCACGCATTCGCTAATCAAATGCGCGGGTTAAGTGCACATGAGGTATCTCAGGGTGGGGAAGGCCATGGGGGGGCCTAGGGATGAAATGGCCACCTGCTTAAGACCAGTGGCCCCATTTTGCCACGCTAGATCACCTTGCAAAGATTTAGCGAGGTGTCTCCTCTCCAGCTTCTGCCACGCAAGATCATGGCCCGCCGAAGCTTCCAGTCTTGGTGCACAAAACGTTTGCGCACTGACAGGAGCCTTTGGGGCAGCAAAATTGTGCTGCCTCAAAGAATCCTATTGGCTTGCAAACACTTCGGCAAGCCTTTGCAAAAAGCTTTTGCTGGCAAAAACGGAGCCCAGGAGGGACATACTGGCCCCTCCCAGGCTTCATTCTTGATGGCAAAGGCTTTTTGCAAAGATGACTGGAGCCTACAGGGATACAATCTAACTGCACTGAAGCCTTCCCTCTGTTTATTTTTGCCCCAGATCTCGTACAGGTCTCAATTTGAAGAGAACAGAGGCCTAAAGCAGTGCAAGATTACACAAGATCAGTAGCACAAAATCTCGCGCTACTGATCTTGCGGTACTTTAGGCCTCTATTCTCTGCGAATGCACCAAAGGCCTGAAATAATGAAGCAGGCAAAGAAACTGCAGCAGAGAGGAGACAGTTCACTAATCTACTTTGCAAGGTGAGTCCATAGGCCCAATGCCTGTGGGGATCCGGTAGGGCAGGGCAAATGTTGCAGTGCCTCTGGTCATTTGTAAGGGTGAATGACTGCTGTGGTGCTGCAACATTCGTAATCTCGGGACTGTTGTAAGTACTGGTGGGGCTATGTTGCTAAGTGAAGTGTAATTCAATTACCTGTATTTGATGCCTACATATTTTTATGTGGCTGAGCCCATATTGTAGAACAACTGGAGTTTAAATAAACCCCATACCCCATAATTCACTCAAAAGATTTGTTTATTGAGGCCTTTTAATTGTATCAGTTGCTTTGGTTTTTACTGTTTTTAATACACACACAAACACACACGTGATTATCACATCTAAACAGCCTGATATGTGATTTATTCATTATTAACATGAGAGAAGATGGAAATTGGTCCTATTGCCCAAACAGGAAGTGGCAGGTAGCTTATTGCTTCCCTCAAATGAGAGAAAAAGGCACAAGAATTCTGCAGATTTCCCTGTAAGGCTTGTCTTTGATACACAGAAGTTGGTAGAATCCTTTCCTAAAGAATTTGACTTTAAATAAGCTTTTGATTTTCCTTCAAATCACAGAAGAATTAAAAGTAATTCCTACATGTTTAAATGTGTTTGCCTGTTTGATGGTAGTACTGTCCATCAATGAGTATGGCTAGCAAGCCTTTTAGTAAAAACTTCTATTTTTATTTTTTTAATAGTTGATTGCAAGGCTTTCTTTCAATAAAATGCAGCAGCCTAAGGATCTGACCTATTATTTATTTTCTTCATCCTGGCAGAGCCCAAAATAGTTTACAACAGAAGAATAAAAAACATTAATAAGGCTATTGCAATAAAACCAACATTCAATCATGAATACAAAAAATAATGCAAATTTCATTTTAAAAGAAGCAAAGTAGGTAATCTAAAAGTTATTCTTATCTCCAATTGTCTTGGTAAATATGCATGATTTTACTTAATATTTTTTTATATGTGAGTGTGGAGGAAGCAACCAACATCCCTTCATAAGAGTTCTATAACTGGAAAAAGTTCTACTAAACATGTTTTAAAAATTTTTTTTAAACAAGTTTTATTAATTTTCCAGTTTTACAGAAATCCAAATATTAAGGAAGCAGCGTGGTGATTGGGTAATCAATAGTCCAATAACAATATCTTTCGTACATATCTCAGGTTGCATCATCAAAAATTTCCTCTCTATTTCTCTTGATTATTATAATCACATTCAAATTAATACATTGCCTTTAAATCCTCAGGTGGATATCCCTTCATTCCCACACATGTTATTTGAATCAAGGGAGACCATCCAGTTATCAATTTTTCAAAGGAACTGGCCCCTTTGTAATCATTGAATTGTTGGCCTAATAGTTCAAATATCCATGTTTGGTTTAGTATATTTGTCATCAGTTCAGTCTGGTCTTCTTCCGGTTTCATCTGGCTTAAGTAAGAAGTCATGTCCATTGCTGTGATTGTTGTTNACATGTTATTTGAATCAAGGGAGACCATCCAGTTATCAATTTTTCAAAGGAACTGGCCCCTTTGTAATCATTGAATTGTTGGCCTAATAGTTCAAATATCCATGTTTGGTTTAGTATATTTGTCATCAGTTCAGTCTGGTCTTCTTCCGGTTTCATCTGGCTTAAGTAAGAAGTCATGTCCATTGCTGTGATTGTTGTTTGGTTGTCTAGGTTCTCAATATGCTGTACTTGTTGATCTTCAGCATCTTCCATCTTAGTGTTGCTTTCTTCAGTTTCTGCTGCTTTTTGAATTGCAGATTTTTTAGTTGAAATCAAGGTTTGATTATCAAAGTTCTCAATAGATTGTAATTGGTGCTCTTCTGTTGCTTTTTGAATTGTAGGTTCATCAGTTAAGTTCTGGGCTTCATTTTGTAAATTTAGGGTGGCACCTTTGTCTTTCAGTCTGGAATTCATTAGCTCAGTAGCTTCAAGGATTTTTTCAGGTTATAAGTTATAGTCAAGTTGTGGATAGTGTTCCTCCATTTCTATGGTGTTTACAGATAGTCCTTTAGTGGAGGCTGTTTTTGATAGAAGTCAGTGAATGTCCACCTCCACTATTCCTAAAAGTTGTTTTTACCACCCAGCTGTTTCAAATTCTTATCTTTTTTAGATAGTACCAAGGACAAATCTGGGCTGTAGACAGGTCTCACAGTCAACAAAAAAAATTCACTTGCTATACCAGGTTTTGCCACAAGATGTCCCCGATAGCATGTAAAGTCTTTTTCCAAACTCAAATTAGGCTTTTATCCAGTTTAATTTTTTTTCCAACTTAAAAAGTGGATAAGGTAATAGGTCCTTGTAGAAATAGGAACTTTTTGTGACCCCAAATATCCAAAAAGTGCAAGTCCAGTTATTTAGTTGTTTAGTTTAGTTGTTCTTTTCTTTTCTTTTCTTTTCAAAGCTTTATTTTCCCAGGCAGACGCTGCGATGTTAAAGAGGGGAAAAGAAATTTCAAGAGGCTTTTACAGGAAGGTAGTTGGGATACAAGAAAGGTAAGGTAAGGTCTCACCCAATTCCTCCGCGGTGCTTTCGTTGTGCTTAGTGGTAATTTTGGCTTTCGACTGGTGCGGCTTAGTGATTGGCCATGTTGATGGCCGATCTTTTCTCTGTCGGTCCAAAGGAGCTGCCTCGGATCAAACGGAAGGGCTGCCACCCTTCCGTGTTCTGTCGAGGGTCCTCCTCGCGGTCATCGCTCCTCCAGGGCAACTTTCGACCCTTTTCAGGGTCGTCTGACGAAGAAAAAGTGGATGGCGGAGAGAGCGCTCCCCCCGCGTCCACTGGTGCTCCAATCGCAAACCGGAAGCCATGTTTAAAATGTTTTAACTGCGGTAAATGTTGAACTGTGTGAGATTATGAACAAGTCCAGCCCAGTTTATTTTACTTTACATTCATAAATCCTAAATCATTTAAGAGGTAATTGATTGTCAATGCTTACAGTGAACTTGTACCACAGTATAGTATTTTTAGGAATAGTGCTATGTAGTCCTGTTTAGTTTCCAGTTTAACAGTCTAGCAATCACATCCTGCACTGGTTAAAGCTTGTATGCCACTTATAATGACAGCCTTATATATAGTGGATTAAAATAATTCAAATGTGAGATTATTAAGGCACGAAACACTTCAGTGTTGTGGAGATACTGTTTAACAAAGTGCAGATTATTACGTATAGGTATTTAAAAACCCAGCTTAGGCCTAACTTCAGTCATATGAAAGACCTTTTAACAAATGACATAAGCATTGCAGGTTTTTTTCACATTTGAATCAATCTGATGAATCTACTAAATTATGAATTAGCAATTAAATATTTTCCCCAGCCTTTTAATGTTACATTTGTAGAACTTGGAGTGGTATATTGTGAAATTCCTAAAGGAGATATTGCCTTCTTACAACTTAGATGTAAATATACATAATTCTATTTGGGGAATAAAGTTTCATAGTGAAAAGAAGAACATTTTTACCTATCAGACTTCATATAGCTGGCAAAGCCAAAAAAGTAAAAATGATATGGATTTCAGTAAAGTATTTTATGCCAGTCTGGTAGTAAGTACAGAAGAAACTATAATAGGAATTTCCCAGCTTGATTAAAGTGAGTTAATTAAGATTGAGTCTGAGGTATTTTTCCCTCAAACAGTCACTATCTAGATTGAGTAGCTGTTTAAGAAATAATCTTTCAGTTTATCTTCTGAAATCTTCCTTCCTGTCTGTCATGTTCTCCTATAAATTATTAACTGAACTGCCTTCAGAAATGGAGTAGCAAAACTGGGATAATACAAACTTGCCAGGAAGCACTCACGATGGGGTATAAAAGGTGGATGTTTTCATTTCTATTGTTTGCTGCAATAAGAAAACTTCTTGCTGAAGGTAAAAATCAAATATATGTATGTTGTGGTTAAAGTATCACTATTTTTTCAACAATTGTAAGGCAATTAATACTGATATACTAGGTTCAAAATGACTTGTGTATCATCCCCTTTTGATTATGTCTTTATTTTTAAGAAGAATATATGTAAAAATCTATGATTGCATGCATAACAAAAGGCTGAAAGTTGTGCTAGAAATCAAAAGATTTTGAATAACAATTTAATATTAACTAGGTTTTGTGTGTGTGTGGGAGGGAAACATTATAAATGGAAGGTCATGTTTATCTGGATATAACAGATAATACAATAATACAATAAGTCTCATATACAAACCCATGCATTTTAACTGCATTGTTTTGTAAGTTTTTTAAAAGGACTGGTATTTAATCAGTAGGTTCTAACATCCCTTTGACAACTTCACTTTCCAGAATGTCTAGGTCTTGTAAAGTGAGCAAACCTACATGTATAGGAGGTTTTTATTGTCAAAACTTGAGTCATGAAGTAGAAACTGGATTCTTCTGAGCATAGTCACTGATAACGTATTTTAAAGAAATGAGTTCCGTTATTTTTCCCCATTTACCTATTGCCCTTGGTTGAAATGAAGTGGTTTGAATGGTATATTTTTCATTTCTTCCTACTTGAATATTAATACATTTCTTTTAGACAAAGCTTGTGACTTCCCCAATATAGAAAATGGAAGGATTGCACTATATTATTATAGTTTTAAAAATTATTATTTTCCAATGAAGAGAGGCGAAAAACTCTCATATACCTGCTTGGCTGGGTATTCAACTGAAACTGGAAGTCAAAATGGAAGGGTAAACTGCACCAATGAAGGCTGGACACCAGTCCCCAAATGTTACAGTAAGTCCATATCCTTATCTTTCTAGTCTGGTAGAAAATAAATGTTGCAGTATTCTTCATATTATAAGAAAAAATAATAATTTATATATAAAGTTTAGCTAGGATGAACAATCTGTATATACAATTTGATAGTTCAATAACTGACAAAAAAAAGTTCAAAATTGCCATCATGTGTCAGTGGGATGCTACAACTAATTGCAAATGCAAGCTAGTTGCCAAGCACCTGAAATGTGATCACATGGCAGGATCGGCCATAAGTACTTTTAGGGGAATTTGTTGTAACATTGAATAATTGTTAAGTGTCCAGTAATTTAAGTGAGGATTATCTGTAGATTTCTCAAGTTATTAACATGGCTTCTTGATGTATGGAATTTGGTTAAGTGACTTGAGGTCCTTTCTATAAGATAATTCTTGCTATGTAAGAGTTCAGGTTTTATGAACAAAGAAAAAAATATAACATTTTTCTCATCTTTTCCTTTAACACGCTAAAGAGAAATGCATCCAACCTACTTTGGATAATGGTATTTTTTCTGATACAAAATTATCCTACGACATCTGGGAAAACTTAAAATATAGTTGCCATTCAGGCTATGAAACTCCAGGAGGCAAGAGGAATGCAAGTATACAATGTCTTCAAGATGGATGGTCAGTTCAGCCAGAGTGTATGGAAGCAACTAAAAAACCTTTCGGTAATACTAAACAACCTGTGACCCATTGGGTCATTGTTTCAAAGATATTTCCTTAAAAAAAAAAACCTGAATGACCAAAGGTAGACAAAATAACCAGTGACACTGGAAGAGTCCTCCAATTTGCTACATTGAGTTTCCTTGTGGGAAGTTGGCAGTAAGGAGGGAAATCCTTCCTTCCTTCCTTCTTTCCTCTCCCCCCCTCCCCTCCTCTTCCCTCCTCTCCGTTCCTCCCCCTCCCAAATGTTAATTCATCTAATTTCCTGCTTTTATCACTACCTGAAAGTTTTACAACTTTTCATCCTTTAACACCCATCTTCCCCAAGATAAAAAGTCTTGCAAAGATTGAGGATGCAGTTCTGTCCAGGCTTGGAGTTACCTGTGTAGAACTTGTCAATAACCCAAGAGACCAATAGAATTAAATCTGATCTTTAATTGACCAACTGAAGTCAATTAATTTGGGGGGGAAAGTGTTTTGAGTTATTTTGACTATGCTATACCTGACTTAATTTATGGTTAACTCATTACTTCCAAATTTAGGCTTCCCTCCAGATAACTTAAAGTGTCAGTGAATTATAAAATATCATCAGCAACAAATAATATGATATCCTTATACTGTATTGTTTTCTGTACATCCTATTTTTCCTCTTCCCTTTTTTCAATGCCTGTTTGGTTTTTCTACCATTTGTTTTCAGGGACTTGCTTAGTTCCAGATTTGTTGTATGGTCACTATCATACACTGCAGAGAGTGTTCAGTGTGCATGACAAGCTCAAATATGAATGCATGGATGGATATGTTACAGCTGGAGGAAACACAACAGAAGAAGCACTATGTCAGATTCAAGGGTGGTCTCTTGTTCCCAAATGTACAAGTAAGTTAATTTACAAGACTTTGCTTTAGGCCAAGAAGACTACATTCCAACTAGCTGGTACCTGTCAACCCTGAAAAATAGGTCACTTATGCATGTTCATTCTTATTTTGCCTTGCTTCTTAGAGTTAGAGTGTTCATCTCCAAATCCTATTGAGCATGGAAAAGTCTATCCCAAGAAAGGCAATTATGAAGAAGGAGATGTAATTCAGATTATCTGTTTGGAAGGTTATACTTTAAGAGGATCTGAGTTAATTCAGTGTTATTACTTTGGCTGGTATCCACAATTTCCAATATGTGAAGGTACTGCTTTTATACTACTCATAGATCCCTATAATTTTGTTTGTATAATTGCTCATCTCACAAATATGACTCTGGCATACTAAATAACAACAACAGCAAAAAAGCCTAATAAAAATCTATTACAGACAATAAAAGAAACTGAAAATCATTTAGAAATCTATCTGCAGGACAGTTCACTTAATTTTCCTAGCAACAGAGACACTTTGTAGACTCCATGCCAACATTCCTGGATTCCCACAGCCAGATAGTAAAGCTCTGTTTTCAGGCCTTTGAGTAAAGTCAGCAAGGTCAGGGCCAATCTTAGGGGAGAATGACCTTTCACACGGTGGGTGCCACAGCAGAAAAGAATGAAGCTCATCGTGAGATGAACTTCTTTTATGGATAGGACCTGCAACATACCACTCTCGCCAGACCTGATGGGATGGGTAGATGTGATTGGGGAGAGGCAGTCTCTCGAACAACTCAGTCCCATACCATATTTAAAGTTCAAACAGGTGAATGCACTCCTCATAGGAGGTCCTATTAAATTTGCCTTCCAACAGAGCAGATGTTAATCAAGTTTGAGAATAGTCAGGCAGGAAAGATACTTGGCGTGCTTCAAAACTGAATTAAGAATCCAGAGTTTAAAGAGTAGGTCATTTTGCCATTATCAGTCAGGACTTGCTGCTTGAGGGGCATAGCCCCAAAATAGCTAAAACTTTGAAGATAGAGTAGAAGTTGTTAGAGCAACAGGGATCATTGGACAAGAGTTAAGCTTTGACCATAGAATTAAAATTATCAGGCATACATGACCCTCAATTTCGGTAAAACAACCTTCATTAATATTTTCATTATACAATATATTCCTGTTTCCTATGCTTCATCAAAATCCCCGATTATGTAATTTGCTTTAAATAAGTTGCAGAAATAGTTAGGAAGGAAAAATTATACTGCATCGTTAACTGAGGAACATAAGCCGAATGCTCATTTTTTAATATGTAGTATGTTTATTTTTATAATTATTTTTTCCAAGTAGGTGTGTTTCACATTTTGGTTACCTGGAGGCCTGTGAAGGTTATTTTGATTTCACTTCACTTATTATCTTTGAAAAGTGTAGTAAGTGCAATGTACTTGATTTTTTTTAGTAAAAATTAATGATGTTTTGTGTCTGTTTTAGTCCAAGATTTCTTTGGATATGGCTTTTTTGAAAGAGTGTACTGTAAAGCTTTTACTAAAATAAAATGGTATTTTGCTATTGTTTATTGTTTATTATTCTGATTACAGAAAGAAGAAACAAATGCCCTCCCCCACCTCAGCCCCCAAATACCAAATTGCTAACCAATTTAAGAACCTACCGTCAGGGAGACATAATACATTATCAGTGTGAGCATTCATTCCAGCTTAATGGAATGGGAGAAATCCAATGTGAGAATGGGAAATGGACTTCACTTCCCAAATGCATAGGTATGACTCTAAATATTAGTGTTAAATAATTATATAATGGAAGATGGAAGTTTAGTATATAATGTAATGCCTATGTTGTGTATTTTCTCTGCAAATATAAATGTGATACGCATTCAGGGCTATTTAGTCATCCAAAAATGAGTATTTTAAATATCAGACATTCTGGATAGCTAGTTCTGTCCAAGAGATTTAAATCATATTATATCTGTAAGAATATCTTTATTCTCAGAACTAAAAGCTGTCCCTTTTCTAAGTCAGAGAGGCAGTAGGAAATTGATTAGTACCAAGCACATCCTTTTGCTGAGTCCTGAATTTTCCTAGCTATGACTTTGGCTCTCTTAATGCCAACGTGTTGAGAAAGAGAAAAGGCAAATGTGTAACTTAAAAATGCAAGAGGATTGAAATCCTATTTACTGTATGTAATAATTGTGATTAAGTATAGTTTAGCATCACTAGATTGTAGTTCTTGTACTTTTGTTTCCATCATTTTTATTTCTCAGATGTGGGCAGGGCATCAACCACAGAAGATTATCGGACTGTAGAAACTGGTGGGAACTGCAATTCGCCCCCTATAGTTAAAAATAGTATTACTATTAATGATATTGGTCAATTGGCAAGTTACAGTCCTGGATCTTTAGTGGAATATGCATGTCATCCTTTACATATAATGAAAGGATCCAGTACAGTTCATTGTATCCATGGAGCTTGGACTGAGCCACCAACTTGTTTAGGTAAGCTTTGAAGAATAAATATTGTACATTATATAAATGGTTAAACTGAAGAATACTATGAAAGCCTGAATAAAGGAATGATGTAATGCCAGATCTTACTATTTTTAAATCTTAGCACATTTGTCAGCTTTCATTCAAGATCTTCTGGAATATTTCTAGATATTTCTATGTATTACAGGAATATTGAAAACTAGTTATCGTGGACATTTCCCCAAGAATGATGAATGAGCTCAGAACTCTATGTTAAAAGTTCTCATCCCTGATATGGCCACATGTATCATCTTTTTATTTTATATAAAATAATATCTTATATTATTCTGCTTCAACAATATATCTCTGGGGACTTCCGGTTTAGCGACCGGTTGCGGGCTTGCGGATTCTCTGCACTGTGGCTAATTTCGCCCTGCCAGGGGACCCTAAATGGGTCTAAGTTGCCCCAGAGAGGCGACGAAGAAAGAAGGGTGCTCCAGCGATTCTGGAACAGCAGCGGCCATTCCGTTCGATTTGGGGAAAGCCTTCTAGACAGACTTGGCAAAATCTGGGAAAAGCTAATCTGTGTCTGTGACCTTCAAAGCTTTAACAACAAAGAACAGCTGTGGCAAAAAAGCAGCTGTAGACAAAGATAAAATTATAAATTTCAGAAAACAAATTTTTTTTTTGAACTATTTGGATTACAAATATCTATCTAAAGGGACCCTAAAGCTATTTGCAGAGAAAAGAAAGGAAAACTCAGATTCTTGGCTATCATGGATCAGAGACATGTAGAAAGAACATATCAAGAAAACATAAATATTTCACAGGAGGAGATATATAGTATACTGCAACTAATTCAAACAACAATGATTTTAAACCACAAAGAAATCCAAAACAACTTTGAAAATATAAATCAATCTATTTCCAAGTTAACTCTACAACAAAAAAATTCCCAGAAAACAACAACAGAGAAGGAGCAGATAAAACAGATAAATGGATATAGAATTGAGAATAGAGACTTAAAGATGGAACTTAACAAAACAAGGAAACATGATTTAATCCTAGTGGGAAAAAATTCACAAGAATCGGGAAAAAAACCTTATCCTTTAAGACTACAAAATAAATCTGAGGACAAAAAAACAGATTGGATAAAATGGACTGTAGAGATGTCAGGAACATCGGAGAGAAAGAAAATGATAAGAGAAGCAGAGAGAAAGAAAAAGAAAAAGATTTTCAACAAACATGGAAAGGCAGAAGTCCCACACAAAGACACTTCTCATGATTTACTTTTTATATCTATAGCAACATTTACGAACATACGGAAAAACTTTTTGATTCAGCAAAATACATTGATTAAGAAAGACATTGGGCAAAAGAAAAAGACTAAAGTGGAAACTAAGAAAATAGATGATGGGACTTACCAGAGAGAATACTTAAAAAAGAAACATTTGTTTGAATATGGTTAAAGAAATAGAAAAGTTTTGGAATGTATATATCATTCTAAGAGGGATGAATTCTCTAAATATAATATAGTATGCTTTTTTCCCTTTTTTATTCTCTTTCTTGATATGAGTAATATAAAAAAGTTGAAATGACTTAGATAAAGGATATTTAAATGTGACTGAATTTAAGAAAATTATAATGGATAAAATGTTTTGAATAAGAGTTAAAGACTAGATGACTAGATGTATTAAATGGAATGTTTAAAGATTAAACATATTTTTAATTATGGTTAAAAAGAATAAGACATTTAGGAAATAAATACATATTAGCTTAGGACAGTTATATATTTTAAGTAGTATGTTATTTTTTATGTTTCTTTACTCTTGCTTTTCTTTCTTTTTTCTACTGTTTTATCTATTTCTTAAGAAATGTAAAAGTGTGAGATGGTTCATATGGAAAAATAGAGTTAAATTCTTAAATGTAATTAATTTTTGAGAAAATCTAAACCAATAAGAATATCTAGAATTTGGTGGGAGAAACAAATTAAAATAAGGACTATAAGAGGATCTATGATAAGGCAACCAGAATGATTGGATAGAAAAGAAATATTATATTGATGTAATTATTATTTTTAGGACTATTGGGAAAAATTATATATTTAATTGTTATCTATCAAAACAATAAGAATTGTATTAACTTAATGTTTGCAAAAGAGGATATTCTGGGAAAAGAGGAAATCAACTAAAACTATTATGTGGATTATGGATTATAGAAATCAATTGTTAGTGATTGTTTTACAAATATAACCCAGACAACACACTGTTCACCAATTATTAAGTGATTAAAAAAAAATCAATAAGATATTACAAAAAACAAAACAAAACAGTATATCTCTGGATGCTAATCCTATTTATATATTGCAGATGGAAAATATTAGACTAAAAGACCACTATAGTATATTACTATTCTATGAAATTTTTATTTACAAACTAGCCTAAATAAATATGCAGCATGAGGTTTCTATAAATCTGATAATTATTCTTTTAAAATATAATGGTAGTTTCTCTCCAAACAATTCCAAAACTTGTCTCCAAAAATTTCTTCTCCAAAACCGTTTGAAAACTGATTGCTCTAAGTGTGGTTAAAACACAACACTTGACCAGCATAGTTAACATTCAACATGTATTTGAACGTATCGTTTGGTTATCACAATTGACATTATCCCCATTTTATAAGACATAGGTAACAATAGTCATGCTCTGCCCATGATACATTTTGTGTTATGGACTGAGCTGCTGCAATGTGAAAAATATATGAAAGGATTAACCAGTTGTTTTTTTGATACTGGGGACCATGATTCTGATAGTGCTGTTGATCACCACAAGGCTTTACTCACTAGGCCAGGAGACTATCAAAGAAAGAAAATCATTGTTAACCATAAATGAAGAATGTTCTCCTTTCTCATCTCCCAATATCAACAATCAACTAGATTTGTGACTTGGTAAATTACTGAGTACCAATAATTTTCTAACTTAATATATTATTGTTAAATCTTGTCTTACAGAGCCATGTTTAGCTAGGGAAGAAATTCCTGGCAATTACAACCTAGAAATGAAATGGAAGCTTGAAGAAGAGTGGTACTTCATGCATGGCGGTTTTATTGAATTTGTATGTAAACCAGGATATGTTTTGCCACCCTTAGTCTCAGAATCCGAATTGCTGGTGCAATGTAATGATGGACAATTGAAATATCCTCAGTGTATTTCCAAAGGTAAAATAATGCTATTCTTAGCAAAAGTTTTATCTGGAGTTTGCCAAATTCTAAGATCCTCAGACAGCAACCATTCACAGTTATGGCAGTGATGAAAAAATAACTTTGCAACCAATGCCCATGTTTATGACCTTTGCAGAACCAATTGCAAACAAGGATTGCTGGTATATCACCGGTGTTGAAAAAGTCAATCCTTGTATAAATGTTATTCTTTTATATAAAAACATAGTCATAGCTACTTTGATTCATATTGCATTTTGATTTCAAAATTTTTATTTGTTTATCAAAATATAAAATATAGAAATACAAAATACAAAAATAATGGTAAAAAGGGAGGAATGGGGGAAGAGAGAAATGCATGAGGTAGAGGGGAAAATGCATTGACTTCCAACTCTTTTGGTGCAGTAGAGTAAGATAATAATATGAAACCTCAACTTTTTACTTTTATATAATAATATATACTAACCATTTCTATAACAACAAACATATCATTTGGCTGATATTGTAAAGCTGAGCCACTGTTTGTGGATGAAATATCTAGGCATATGTAGGAAGATACCTTAACAAAAAGGGAGGCTGATATCCATATACTATTTTTGGACTTTATAATCCATTTGTTTTGAACTCCATTTATATTATAGTGTCCCTTAAGGAACTGTCATGACAAATGATATTCCTCTTTGTTCTCATAACAGCCTTATTTTACATTTTTCATAGCAACTTTTCATCCAATTGTATCTTTTGCTCAGTACATAGCTAAAACATTTACTTTTTTAAAAAAACAAAAGGAAACTAGTTTTTTTCTGTCATTAATAGGATATCATACTGTCATTTTATTTTATTTTTGTGATGATGTCACAAAGATGAGAATGATGATGCTAACTCTCATTTTGAATGGGGAAGCATTTTTACCCCAATTTTGCAGTTTACCACTTTCTATAAAATAGAGATTGCAGGAGAAAATTCATACAAAACTGCCTGTCTTCTCTCCATTTTAAAACTGATTTTAGCCATAAAACATTACTGTCTTATGCTGCCTTTATTTTCTCCACTGTGTTTTGCAGGCTTAAGTGCTAACTGTGGTCCTCCACCTTCCATAGAAAATGGGGTTATTATGGGCTCATTAACAGAAAACTATGAAGATGGTTCAACAATACAGTACAGTTGCAATGAATATCATGTTTTGCAAGGTTCCATAACAGTCTTTTGTTCAAGGAGCCAATGGACTACTCCACCTGTTTGTATAGGTATTGTACATTATTGTTATCATTATAACACATATCCAAATAAACATGCAGCTTCAATATGTTTTAGAAAATTATTGGTGTCTTCAATCTTAAATGGGGGGGGGGGCTCCATATAAAGTTCTCCAATTGCTGAATTATATTACATGGCAATGAATTAGATGTTATGATTGTGCATTGTAGCACTGGAATGAAAGCTCATTTTGGTATATAACATTAATAGGAATAGACTCTCTTGAGGAATATGATTCTCATTCTGTGCTCAGTCTGAATGTTAATTCGTTGGAGCTTCAGTGGATTGGTTTTGAATTAAAGGGTGGATGTAATAACATCTCCCTGATTCATGATTTGATAGTGGATAAGAGGGTTGATTGATCATGTATTACTGAAATCTGATTGGGCATAGAGGAGTATATTCCCCTTTCAGAAATGAGACTATCTGGGTTTCAAGTGTGGCTCCAGTTGCCACTCTTGGTGATGAAGTGGCTATTGTTATCAGAGATGTTGTTGACTTTCAGAGGCATTGCCCCATAGATAATCAGTTGTGAGACCCCATTGATAAGTTTAGTCTCTAGAAAGTAACTTTAATTGTTGCTGTTGTATCGTATTCCTGAGATTCCTTGCCTGAGTTGCTCAATGCAGTGGGCAGTTAATGTTAGAATTCCCCAGACTTACTGTATTGGGGCACTTCAACCTGCCTTCCCTAGAGATAGAGCAGGAAACAGCTCAGAAGTTCCTGGCCACCATGGAAACTAGCGATCTCACTCAGATTATCTTACCTCAGTGGTGTTAGCCCTTTGTGGTAGTTCAGAGAAGAAACACAACAATGAATACTAGCTTTATCTTCAAATTATCTATCAAATGTAAGGGTCCCCAATTCCCGGTCCATGGACTGGCACCAGTCCGTGGCATGCTAGAAACTGGGCCATGCAAACAAGTGAAATCCCATCTGTGGGATGCAAGCAGCACATGAACCCATGCCCCTTCTGGTCCGTGGAAAAACCTCTCTCCACAGAACCGGTCCCTGGGTGCCCAAAGGATTGGGGACTGCTGATCTAATGAGTGAAATTATGCAAATTGTTGATAATTCTAATGTATGAAGTTGTAGTTTATTAATGTTTACACTTTATCAGATGCAATGTAAGAAAATCATAGTATCTAAGGGAAATGTCTTACTAAATTTCATGGTATGGTAAAAAAATAATAATATTCTGTTTATTTTCTGAAGAGCCATGTACCTTGTCACAGGAAGAGATGGCAAAAAATAATTTGCATTTGAGATGGAGTTTTGACAATCGACCTTATTTTCTTCATGGAGAATTTGTTGAATTTGTATGCAAAGCATACCACACTACACTTCTATCAAGTTCATCCTCTGATTTTAGAGTACAGTGTCAGAATGGACAACTATTGTATCCACAATGTGTTAGGAGTATATAGTAAGTAGAACATTATTGGTAATATATTTTCATACTTACACAGTTCTATGTTTTCCTTATTCATATGTATTTTAAGGATTTGGCCATATTGGCTACCATAATGGTATTGAGACAATGTATATTAAAAACATTTCTCTAAAGCATTCAAACAATTATTGCTACCTCAAAAATACCATCAGTTTCCAAGGATTCCCCCTTTGGTTTCTTCCATTCTGCCATAATTAGAAAAATAAAAGATTGTTATTTCTTAATTTATTAAAGCTCAGTTGAGCCTGTTTTATTAAATGAAACATTTCTAACCAAGATGTAGCTTGGTTCAGGCACTATAGAACATTTGATGGATATTTATACAATGCACCTTATATTGTATAAAACACTTAGTTAAATAGAGGAAGGGAAAGTATTCCGGTATGTGGAACATAAAAGGAGATTAATGCATTAGACAGTGTCAGTCTGTTCACGAATATGAAAAAACATATTGTTATACAATTCTTCCTCTTTTTTTTTTTAAGATGAGAGATCAGTTGAAAGAAAATGCAGCGTTTTGCCACAGGTTAATTGGAAGTTACATAGCTTTATATAACCTCTTCTTTTTCAGCTGAGCAGTACTGCTGTTTTATTACTTATGAATAATTAATATTACATACTAAACCAAGTTTTAGAAGTGCTGGTTATAGTTATGTACTTTGTCTCTCTTTCTAAGTAACGCTTAATGTATTTGTTTTTCTTTAGGTAAGAAAATGGAAAAAAACGTTGAGTGACTTCTTTGCCTCATACCATGTTGGAAGAAGCATGCAAATTAACTTACATTATGTACCTTTTTTTTTTTTTTACTGCTGGAAGACTATAGTCACTCAGGTTGATTGGAATAGCTGTTGATTTTAGCATGCAACATCATTTGAAGATGCTTGTAAACAGAGTAATTCTGTGATCAATATTTATTACTGCAATAAATGTTCATATTTATTACAATAAACATCACCTTTGCATTTACTCACTTTTAAAATACCAAATGTATGAAATGTTATTCTTTTTTTCTTATTAATAATTTACTGAACAAGGCTTTTTCATATCTGAGACTAATCAGCATGTTCCGAGTACTCTTAGGTGACAGGGTAACAGACAAACCAAAGAGAAAGTTTATTAATAGCAGACATTATATATCAAGTGTATTCTTAAAAATATCTGCTTAACAAAATAAAAGGCTCTCAGAATGCACTTTTTCTAATACAGAAATCTTAATGGTCTTCCATGAAGATCCCTGATATGCTATAGGTATCACAGAGTAATCAGATTTTATAATCAGTGTATAATGCAAAGACATGCTCTTTTTGATTACCTATGCCCAGAATCTAATGTATTTCCTAAGAAAATCTCCAAAGCAGCTTTCCTAAAGCTCATATTGGCTAGAAATTATCCCTTTAACTGCACCTTCCAACTCCCTCTCTCCAGTTTATTCCTTGTAATATCTGAAGAATGAGCTCACTGTAGCCGTTCTTTAATTGGTAGTTACAATACCCAATCTTCCCAGTATTCATCCATGAAAACAATTATTCCCTTTAACCTTGGGATACAGAGTTTGGTGAGCCACTGCTTCTTCAGAACTCAGTAGCTTCATCCATTGTACAATTCCAGAGGGAACCCAAATTGCTATGATTGCTCGTCCTCAGAGAATCCTAGAAACTCTTCTGTGAAAAAAGTCAAGAGCAGAACCTCTGCTATCTGATCTGAGAGATTCATTGCAAAGAAGTACAGCTCAGGTAAAGAGACTGCCTTGACACTGAGTCTCCACTCCCAGGTGTAAAGGAGACAGAGATCTGAATGCTTTGCCATTTCATCCTCAGCAACTGCTTGAACAACAGATAGTGTATCTTGGATGGGGATATTTGAAGATCAGTATCAAGATGAATGAGGACCTGGTATCTCTCTCCCTTTTCTACATCACTGGAAATATTGAGCAATCTATCACACTTTTCCAGCTAATCTCTTCATACCAAGGCCATCCTTCACAATCTGATTCAATTAGTGAGCAACATAGATGACCCTAACAAAGATTCCTAATGGGTTGCCCTTTTCATGCTCTACTGCCTGGCTATGATTGAGATCTAGCAACTCAATATGCATAACTCATCTGCTGTATGAGTCATGTTCATTACCCACCATGAAGCAGTACCCATTTCTCATGTTCTGCATCATGAGAAGTGCTGTGCTTGTTGTGGAAGACATTAGGAACAGGAATAGCACTACTACCCCATTGTGCTTTAAAACATTCTCTGAGTGGTTTATAATGTCAGCATTTTGGCCCCAACAATCTGGGTCCTCATTTTACTGACCCTGGAAGGATGGAAGGCTGAGTCAACTTTGAGCCCCATCAGGATCAAACTCAACGTTTGCCTGCAGTAGTTGCATTCCAACTACTGTGCCACCAGGGCTCTTCATTCTTTTATTTTCACCCCATTGACAACAGTACATGCTGAGGAAAAGGTAAGAAGACACAGCTCACTTCAACTGGACCAAGGTAAAATGAACATAAGAACTTCAGCTTATTGCTTGCACTATTCACAACACTTTCTTGCTGCATCTATGATTAGGGTAGGTACTGCCTGCCTGGCAAAGTTGCTGGGTAAGAAGATAAAGCAGTTGGTGCAATCAGATGGAAAAAGTGGCAGACTCCATTCTCCTCCAATGTACAGAATAGCTAGCTAGTCATACAAAAGTATCATCTAGTATTTTTGAATTACTCTGCTGCTTGCTGCCAAATGACTGCTTCAATCTCTGGAAGGATCTTGATGTTTGAGAGCCAGTGACTTTTTGCTGGTGAGCAATATGGGTTCTGTTGTAATGTCAGAGATAGGCAAAACAGGTGATTTAGTGCTGCCAAGAAGGAAAGTGCCCCCCCATTTATATATTGCAGTGGTTGCAAACAGCCCAGAACAGATCTTTTAAACACCTTAGATTGCTACTACACCACCATGCTTGTTTTCTAGTGTGGAGAGAGTTTCCTCCTTTAAATTCCTGGGAGTCTACCTCTGTGAAGATCTTACCTGGAAAACTAATACAGCCCAGGTGGCCAGAAAGGCCCAACAGAGACTCCACTTCCTCAGGGTTTTGCGGAAGAACAGGGTAGAATGACGACTTATGACCTTCTTCTACCGGTCTACTATTGAAAGCGTTCTCACATATTGTATTGTGGTTTGGTATGCTGAATTGACAGTCACAGACAGGAAGGTATTGCAGAGGGTGGTGAGCATGGCACAAGACATCGTGGGCTGTTCCCTGACTCCACTGGATGACATCGCCAGGGCCCATTGCCTTGGCAGAGTGAGGAAAATTCTCAGGGATGACTCACACCCTGGTTGGTACCTTTTTACTCTCCTACCATCGGGTAGGAGATACAGAAACATAGCCAGCCGTACCAACAGGCTGAAGAACAGCTTTTATCCATGGGCCGTCAGGCTTCTGAATGGGACATAGCTTTATAACTTTATGCATGACAGACTCGTGAGGCCGGCGTGATGTGCAATTAGTTCACAGGGTGAAATAAGTTGGGGGTTTGTAGTCACTGTGAGTTTGTGGTGAGGGGGGGCACATAGGGAGGCTCAGCCAATTTCACTGTATACATGTTATACTTTGATAATAAAGGGTTTATTATTAGTAGTAGTGGGTGATCCGCTCGGTTCCCGATACCACCACATGCCATTGTCTCAGATTCAGAAAGAATCTTCTTCTTCACCCTGACCTTTGGCCTCAACTCTTGGGTTTCTAATGGAGGGAGCAGACTGACTGCAGGTAAGTGCTCACTTATCAATTGTCACATACAGCAATAGTTCAAATTGATGACAGTTCTAGAAAAAAGAAACCTTTGTGACCAATCCTCATAATTACAATTGTTGACATCCTGCAGACACATGATAACGGATCACGTGCTTCACAAAAAGCTTGTGAATTCCAGGTAACAGAATCACTTTTGCCTCAGGATGAGGAGGAATAGTACTAAATAGTACTAAAACCATTTCTTACAGCATGATTTTATTACTCTGCTCCTCTCCCTTTGTGTAGGGAACCTTGGCTAGGCCTTCTAATTCTGTAATTGGCCTTACTCTCTCAGCTATGGCTTATTCCATTGTTTTATTTCTTAAGGCACGGGTGTCAAACTCGATTGCGTCATGTGACATATTGTGATGCATCGTGACATTTTTTGCCTTTGCGGAGTTGAGGTGGGTGTGGCCTGCACATGATGCATCTGGCCCATGGACCGCCAGTTTGACACTCCTGACTTAAGGGAAGCCCTAAACTGAAGGGTGAGGAGAAGCTTTAAAGGCAAAACAGATCCTTTTTTAAAACAGAAGAAGATTCCGGTTTAGAATGTGGACATATACTGTATCTAGTAAGCAGCAGTAAATACACACAAATATAACTGGAAGAATGATTTCCCCAAAATAGAGGATAAGCAGCCTTTCCCAATATTCTTTTGCTCAAATGTCTCTCTCCCACTTGCTCAGTAGAGATCATTCAGCATATTTGTACACGAATTTTCAGGTCTCAGAAACTCCCATGTGGGCTTTGTTGCATAAGAATTAGTTTAGGAATTTCAAGTCTGTTCCCCATAGTCCTTGACTTTCCTTTATAATACAGGTTTCTAATAAACACAGAAGTCTTGTGGACTTTGGAGTCTGAATAAGTAAATAATCAGTTTTGTGGATCCAGAGGTGAAAAACCTTTCCAAGGACAGTCATTGGTGTCAGTGATTAAAAGTCTCAACTGTACAGTGCAGAGGTTGACAATCAAATACCGACATGCGCTGTTTTGGCTATATAATTTTTGTCCTATTATGGACAAATTGTGTTCTCCAGAAGGGTAAGTTATTTAAGAAAAAGTAAAAGTTGTCTTTTTTGCAAGGCAAATGGATTTTTGTTAGTACTTTTAAAGAAAAGTAAAGATAAATATCAATTATTTTAAAATAAGACTTATAAAACAAGAACATGTCATGAGAAAATTGTGATTTACCATATATGTGTCTAAATCAGATAATAGATTTGTTCTTTATGTTGCAGCGCATATATATTGGCTAAGTAATTGTGGTTAGATGCTCAATTATATCTATTCAGCTTATATGCTGAAATGTAATACATAATGATACTTGATGGCCTTTTCTGAATTTTGCAATAGTTACAGAATTCACAGGCACTTTGCATGGATGCATGTATATATCTGTTGTGGCATCTAGCCACCTTTATTTTATTTTAAAATTTGGGGTTCTATATTCCACTTCAACTGATGCAATAATTGCCGGTGACAAGTATGTGTGGGTTTATCATTAAATTATTGGTAAACAATGAGGTTAGATGAAAATGAAATACTGATGGTGTATTATGTTGTAAGTAAAAGAAAGACTTGGTTGAAGTTCTCATTAAATAATCAACTGATTTTTATTAATCAATTATTAATAATTCAGTTATTAGATGGAATTGAGAAAGCTGTTTTAGTTAGCAGGTTTTGAAAAACCAATGAATTATTTGTTATATAATATGTTGTACTTGTAGATAGTTGTTGACAGGGAAAACTGGTTGCAAAAATTTTTTGGCTGGGTTTCAGTACCAGTTTTGTACTTTGACAAGGCAAACACACATATTATACTCTAACCTCTAGTTACAAACCCGTGCATTTGAAGAAATAGGTAAAGTTTGCAAAAGTTTATGGCAAAATAACTTTTGCTAGGGTTTAAGAAGCTTCAAGTTGTCACCGATATTTTTGTATTGTTTCCCAGTTGAACACATTACCATGGAATTGTTATTCTATGCACTGAGGAATATTAATAGCATCCATCGAAGGCTGCACTTAATGTTTTCTCTGAGGATAAATGCCACAGTTGGTGGGACAACAATGCAAAATGTGAAGTGCTATGTCACACATATGATCAAAGGCCAGGATCTCTGTGTGTGTATGTTTGTGTGATTTGTTTTTTCTTTTCTTATTCAATTTTTGAATAATTGTTTAAGCATATATAGGAAAACCAGACTACTGCTTTTGAACAATGATGGGCTGCGGTGTGCACCTTTGGAGCTGGCTAACAGATTGACATGGGGTTCCTTGTTTAATCCCTACCACTGCTTGTTGTGTACAAATATGAAGTCATTGTGAAAATGCTGGGGAAAAGTCTGAGCAATAAGGCAGTTTTCATGGTCATAGTCAAATATACTGTATATCTTAAGAACAGCAGGCAGACAAGTGTATAATAATAATGGTATGTGAGAAAGGCCTTGGGAAGCTGGGCAAAGAGACCAAGGGAATATCCTTGAGAGACCAGGTAAGAGATAGAATAGCCCACAGCTAGATAGTACATGAGGCAAATGCTCAGAAGAGATTCTTTCTAGTTTCTCCGGCTGAAATCAGGGTTATGTGATTACCATTTGCAACCTTCCCAGGAAGGGGAAAAAGTCACAATATGTCACGCGACGTCACATGACGTCGCAAATTTGACATGCCTGCTATAAAAGAAAAAAGAAAACAGTTTCACAGAAAGGGTGCACAACTGATATTGAAATTAATGGAATTTAGGTTTCACATAATAATTACATTTGTTGATTTCAATGTGGGTGCAAAGTAGTTTAATTAAAAAAATATTTTTTGGGGGAATCAGTTCTTTCTGATAAATAGAAGGACTTACAAATGATTCTTTAAATGAGAATGGGAAGTAGCCATTGCATTTACATTTTGCAGAAAACAAATTACTGACAGGCAAGGAATTTTTACTCCCAAAGAAATGGCAGAGCTTATAAGTGCAGAAAAAGGTCATTAACTTATTCCATTAATAGAAATTAAGTTCTTCTCTCTGCAAAACATGGCATAATTGCACACCAGAACGACTAGACATAAGGACAGGTTTTTTCCCCGTGCCCTCACTCTGCTTAACAACTAATTCCTACAACACTGTCAAAATACTAGTAAAGCTGTATTACTATTATATTCCTCATCTTTCCTATTGCCTATCTTTATCTTTTTATGATTATAACTTGCTGCTTGTATCTTACAATTTATATTGAGGTTTTTTTTGTACCCTAGTATGATTTATGTTGTTTGCTTAGCTAGTACTCTATGACTATCACTAAGTGTTGCATCTTATGATTTATGATGAAGTGTTGTATTTCACGATTTATGATGAATGTATTTTCATGTTGTATATGATCACGATTATCACTATTATTTGTATGTACACTGAGAGCTTATGCACCGGAGACAAATTCCTTGTGTGTCCAACCACAGTTGGCCAATAAAATAATTCTATTCTATAATAATAATAGTAATAATAATAGTAATAATAGTAATAATAATAGTAATAATAATAGTAATAATAATAGTAATAATAATAATAATAATAATAATAATAATAATAATAATAATAATAATAATAATAATAATAGAAATTTACTACCACCTTTTTGCATTCTACATTGCTCTTTCAGTATCCCAGCAGATGCAAGTTCCATATGATGATTTGGTCAATCTACTTACTGAACCAGGTAAGATACAAACTCAACTATTCAATTCATAAAAAAAATGAATTTCAATAAGTGCACTAAGCCTTATATGACATATGCTTTATAAAAATGTGAGGAAGTAAACAAAAATATATCTCAAAATCAGTCATCTCAAACTCAGATTATTATTTATATATCCACATATCATGTATCATGGACAAATCTATAAATATACATACAAACTCAAGGTGACAAGCATATCTAATACTCCTACCTTCTATGAGATGTGTTGGCCTAAGAAAGAGTAACTGGCACAAAGTCACCCAGCTGTCATTCATGCCTAAGGCAGGCCTAGAACTTACAGTCTCTTGTTTTCTAGGCTATCATTGTTAACTACTACACTAAACTGGATTGCCAATGAATGTTCACTGGGGGACTTTACAATGGAAGCTCAATTATTGAAAGAATCCCACTAAATCTGAATCCAGCCCAATATGTTATATATTTTCAGTATAGGAGGAACATATGTATATGTTACAATATTATTGTTTCATGCTAATAAAATGACAATGGGCTATGAGTATTGTGAATTTCTTAGGATCATAGATCTTCAAAAGTGTGATGTTTTGTCTTTATCTAGGAACTCTTTGATGACATCAACTTTGTATATTGTCAATTAGGAAAATAGTCTTGTTATATCTTATGAAAATATCCTAACTCTACAATGTTTCAATTTTCACAAGTATAATTAATTATGTTAATTCTGTGTTATTAATTAGTCAATCATTTATTTTTAAAAAAATACTTTTTTAATTTTTACCTTTTTAAGTAAAAATTATTTAAAACAATAAAATTAATCTTATTTAAAACAATAAAATATACAGAAGCAAATGTATATTATACCTGGCATAATATAGTTCATTCAGAAATGATGTACATTTTTACAAAAGTAAAATAAAATAAAATAATACACATTTCCTATAGCACATCCTTTTTCATTTTCAAGCAGATATGTTTCTAGTCCTATAATCGGTGACTTTGTTGACCCGAGATTCCCAGAACAGAAAGTAGAACCATAATTAATTCTGTAACTGTATGGAACCTCTTCAGAAAAATATATCCTAATATCGTGCAGAATTCATAACAGAGATGGAGAAAAAATGGGGAATAGTAGATAGAAATTATAACTTATTACTTAACCTTCCAAAGTTAAATGCTGGGTAAAGTGGGAGATCAGAAGTATTAGAAATGGAGAGCTTCTTGAAAGATCCACCTCCTGAGATACTGTATCCTTTGGAGTATGTTTAAACCAAAACTGGGAAGCATTTTGAGACTTCTGTAGTACAGAAGAAATTGCTTGCAATATAAAGAGGAAATTATTCTACTTCATGACTTGGCTGGATTGGAACTAATTTATTAAGATTGCTTTTAATAACAAAAATATTTGCTCATAGTTTTATGACTTTATGCATTTTGTTTTTATGGTTATTGGAACGTATCACTGTTTTTAATGAAAGAAAATATATCTTTGTCTAATAATGATAAATAAGATGTTACTTGGCTCTGCTCTCTCATAATAATTGAACAGGAGCAGTAACCGTCATAGATTATAATGTAGAATCCAGTGATAAATAGGAGAAAGTCTTTTGGAATTTGGCCTTCAGAGTAAAAAAAAATAAAATCATTCTGTTTATTCCATGCTCTTATACAGTACAATTATATCCAGGATTGGACATTACTTGTTACTCAGTGTAATATATCCATTTATTAAATATTTTAATTGCAGAGATTCCAACAAGTTGTGGTCCTCCACCTGCTATTGGCAACGCAATGCTTCTAACCAACAGAAGACAGGAATTCTCGTCAGGTGAATCTGTGATATATGAGTGCTACAGGCTGTACGAAATGGAGGGCACTCCAATTGCAAAGTGTCAGAATGGTCATTGGAGAGGTGTCCCAAGATGTGTTCGTAAGTATACAGTTTAAAACTGATCATTCCTGTTCTGATGGCAAAATATCCTTCTAAAAAACAAACAAACACTAAACATAACACAAAAAGATAAAAATGGCTATTTTTCTTTGATATTCTTGTGAAGCCAGGCCACATGCTATCAGAGGCTGAGGGCAGCAATATCATGAAATGCAAAGTTTTATAGTACTTTCCTGAAATTTTTTTTTTAAAAAGTTGCACCACTTCATGAAATAAAGAAACATGAAATATATTCAATCAAAAAAGACTGTTGAATAGAAGCTAAATTTGTTCTTTATTTCTTGGTAATGTAGTCATTTTAAATGAAAACTGGCAAAACTGCTTAGCTTTTCACTGGGTTATATTATTTTGGTTACATTAGAGCAGGAGTGTCAAACTCGCAACGTCACGTGACGTGTCGCGACGTATTGTGACTTTTTTGCCATTGTAGGCAATGGGGTGGGCACAGTTTTGCTATGATGCATCCGGCCTGCGGCTCGGCAGTTTGACACCCCTGCGTTAGAGTGTGAGAAATGTATATTAAAAGTTGATACATAAGGGTCCAATCCTTACAGTATATGTAGCATACAGTCAAAGAATTATTTTTTTTGTCAAAATACTATCTCAGCCATACTGTTTAGTATTAGTGAGACAACTTCCTCAGCCACTTACAATTCCTCATTTAGCAGCTGCCTCATTTTACCAACTGTTCACAGTTATGGCAGAGATGAAAAAGTAATTTTGTGACCAATCCTTACGTTTACAAACTTCGCAGGTCTCTAAAGCAAAGAAAAACAGAAGTAAGATCATAAACACAGTCATGGTTTCACTTAGCAAACACTTCATTTAACAACCAAGTTGCCAATATCATTATGGTCACTAAACAAGGTCTACCTGTAGCTTAGCAATATCATAGAAAGGCAGCAAATAGTTGTTTAGGTTTTTGCATATTAAATGTTTACTGCTAGGAAATAGTAGGATTTAAGTGCCCAACAGTTGGTAATATGAGCCATGACTGGGGAAAGAGAAAAAGGTTCTTTGCTACTTCCCCCCAAGTTGAAAAGTCTATGGATTTCATTCATTATCCTTATAGAAGTTTTAAACATGATTCTCATATTGTCATCACCAAAGAAAAGGAAAATATAGACACTTTGATGTTTAACTTAAGAACTAGCCAATCAGCATTTTGCAAAGCTTGTTCAGTTTTAAACTTATAATACATTTCTTCAGTACATCCTCATGTAATCCCTTGCTAACAAGACAACTCCTTCCCCAAGCCACATTCTTACGTAGTCACTAGACCTAGAACAGGAAATGGATAAAGAAATACATATAACAGGCTTTCTTTCTGTAGATATCCTAGTATCTGTACACAGATGCTAGGAATCTGGAGAACTTAATCTGCAGATCGATTCAACGTTTCTCACAGAAAACCATGAAAAGACTCACAGAGATGTATACCAACTATAAAGAAGACTAAGAAAAATCCCCCCTGTGCTTTAGAGAAAGGCAATATACATATCATAATATAAATATGCGTCTATAGCAGCAGCACTACTGACAATCTTTCAGTAAGTTACCAAAGCATATTATCATAATGCTACAGTTTGGCCCTGGCTTCCAAATGTTTCTGAAGGAAACGGATTTTTAG